CCTTCTTTGGGATGGGAACAAATATAGATCTCTTCCAGTCAGTTGGCCAAGTGGTTGTTCTCCAGATTTCTTGGCACAACTTGGTGAGCACATCTACGGCAGCATCTGTTAGCTGAAATATGTCAATTGGTATACCATCTATTCTGGGGGCCTTATTTTTTTTTCAAGTTGGTGGCTTACTGGTAAGGAATTGCACTGACAGCACAAAGGCTTGCAGTTCAAATCTGCCAACTGCTCCGTGGGAAAAAAGATGGACAATCTTCTCCATCTTTCCTCTCTGAAAACCTGGGGGATCAGGAATGTGTGAGGGTGAGAAGGTGCCGTTTGGCCTGACGAATGATTCCTCTTCCCCTGCTTACCACTCACCACTGCAGGATGCTGGCCTCAGCCTCAGAGGTCCTGCTATGGGAGGAGCCTTGGTGCCTGGGGAGCCTTGAGGTGGAGTGGGGTACCATTCTCATGCTGAGGGGAAGAACCTGATCTCCCGAGGTCTCAGCCTGGTTCCTGTGCCTGCGAAGCTGCCATGTGAACAGACTTTGATAGGCTCAGTGAATCCCAATGTCCTGGGCCTGAGATGGGACTGATTAGAAGGATCTCAGCTTCTGGAGACACCTGGAGTGGAAGAAACACACTAGATTCAGAGGCCGGAGTTGTTAGCGCCCCTTGCAGCCTCCATTTGCTCATGCATTCATTCATGGAGTGCTTACCAAGTCCCAGGCCCTGAGCTGGCTGTCAGAGTCCTCGCTCTGTCTCTGGGATGCATGTCCTGTAGCGAGGGCCCGTGGACAACCCTTTCTCTGGTGCTGAGCGTCAGTCAGTCGTATTTGGCTCCTTGACCTGTGCCTGAGGAAAAAGGCATTAAGACTGGGCCAGTTTGCCCTGAGAACCAGAGGCCCGAGAGTGGGCGGGAACTAGTCTGGGGCATGAGCAGTTCTGTCTGTGTGTTATGGTGCTACATGGGCAATGGAGTAGAGATGGGGTTAAATGAAACCCTAAAAACAACTTTTTTTTTAGAAGATTGTGGAATTTTTACTGTATTTTTTTAACTTGTAATTTATATGTAAGTCCATAAAGCAAATTGATTTTTTATTAAAAAATTGATACCCATTTTGATTTTGTGACGTTGGCCACAGTCCCAGCATTGTAACAGCACTCATCCTGCTCCCTCCCTGTGTTTACTTCTTCCATTTATCTTTTTCATCTATCTGTTCCTGCCACCTTTTTTTTTTAAATTAAATTTTATTAATTTCAATGAACATTTACAGAGATTTTGGATTTCCATTCATTCATTGTTGCACTGTTTTCTCTACCCTTCTCCCCAGTTCGTTCCTCTTCCCTCCCCCCTTGAAAGTCTGTTTTAATTGCCCAATTGCCACAGTGCTTGTCAAAGCCAGTTCTGATTAATCTCCTCTGTTAGTGTGTCCTTTGCCATTCCCTATCCCTCCTGCCTGAGAGAGACTTCACCCTGATTCATAAGGAAAAGGGGATGGCGTATTCTCTTAGCTACTTTCTGCTGAAAAGGGATGCTGTGGGTTTTAGGGTGAAGATCTTCTCTCACTACTCTAAAGGGCCCCTTTGGCAATAGGAAACACATAGACTATTATGGAGATTTATTTTGGAATTTAGATGCACTGCTATCAATTGTGCTTAGCCGTACATGTTCATATCCTTGAAGATGCATCATGGAACTGTTGTAGCCTAGAAGACAACAAATTTAACTAACAAGTTAAAAGTACATGAGTCAAAAATTAAAAAGCAATAATATTCCAAGTAGAGGCTCTAATATGTTCCTGCCTTCTGAGCACTGTTATTCCCGAGCAGACACAGCCCTTTTGATCTCCTGCAGTTGGTCATTTTTTTTTGTTTTGTTTTTTTTTATGTGTGTACCGTCAAATTGGATCCGACTGGTAAAGGAGGTGATTGTTCCTCCTTCTTCAGCAGAGCATCTGGTGGATTTGAACCACGCACTTATGGGATTGCAGTGCAGCTTCTTGCCACTAGGCAACCAGAGCTCACCTGCAGTTGGTCATTTAATGGAGTGTGTAGCTCCTTCAGGGTGCTGCCCACCTTAACGAACTGGTTGTGGTTTGCAGTTTTCTCCTGAGGGTGATGGGTGGGGTTTGAACCGGGTTACCCTCTGACCTTTGGGTCTTGGAGCTTGCACTTGAGGAAGGACAGCCTGCAAACAGGGAGAGGGTGGGACCCGAAGTGATGGGGCAGGGAAAGGCGGGTGCTGGAGTTTAGAGGCTTTGGGTGGGAGGGAGGGAAGTGTCCTCTGGGGATGGTCCTTGGTAGGGGATATGCTAACAGGGGCTCTGGATTCTAGGAGCGCTGTGTGAAAATCGGATGGGTTTTCCCCCATTGGAGGCACATTAGGGCTTGAGCAGATCTCATCCTGGAGACGTCTCCAGGACAGAGAGGACTTGCAGGAAGGGGCCGAGTGTGCCTTTCGTGGCCACGTATTGTTAATGGGTCTGGCAGTGGGAATCAGCTCTCACTCTGAGCCAGGCCCTGGGCCAAGTGCTCCCCCTCCTAACCCTGCCGGGCAAACAATCTATCCATTCTGAATGGTGGGAAATGGAGGCACAGCGAGGCTGAGCCAACTGTCCCCTGTTGCCCGGGCCGTAAATGGGTGGAGCAGGAATTCAGATTCTTGCTTCCAGCCTGTGGCACCCTCTGCTGGCCACCTGCGGTAAGACCGAAGCTGCTTTGGTCTCTGGAGCATCACCTGAAGCAGACAAGCAACGGTGCTGCCCCTTGTTGTCCTCCCCATACTGTGTGGTTGGGACATGTTATCCAACCTCTCTGGGCCTCCATCTCCTCATCTGTAAAAAGGAGCACCATTGCCCACTCCTTAGGCTATGATGAATGTTAAGAGAAAGTGGTGTTCCTGCCACGTGGAAGATACACTCTTGTCATCTCACCCACAGGGGAACTGTCCCTTTGTTGTTCTCTGAAGATGCTGATAGGCAAGGACGAGGGGCCTGGAGTGGGCCTCTTGGATGTGTCCATGTCCTGAATAGAGACCTGGAGTGTTAAAGTGAAGAGAAATGCCACACCCAGCCTGCCACAGCCTGGCCCACGGGGCACACATCAGACACACAGGGCACCCAGGGAGCTTTGTAGATGTCGTCTCAGTTCTCTCCCTGTGCCAGGGCTGGGAGCATGCAGTATGCTCTCAGCTGTTCCTGCCATGGGGGTGCAGACAGCTCCCCAGGAGCCTGGGGCAATAACAGCTGTGGGGACTCAGGGTGAGGGGCCGTCTCCTTCTCTTGGTACTGGAATCACCTGTGTGGATCTGGGCATAGCCTTTTGTCGCTTGGAAATGTAAATAGATGCTCATTCTCTTTGGGTTAGGCATTGTACTTGACACTTTAGTACATCTTATTGTTTCCACTTTTTAGATGAGAAATCCAGGGCTCAGACAGATGACCCAGTAGAGGGCTAGGAGCTAAGATTGTGTCTGGTTTGAAGCCTCAATGCCTATTTTGTTCCATCTACAGCCATGTTCAGGGGAGCATTTTAAGGAAAAGCCCCCAACTGAGAGATGAGAAGAAAAGCCCAGCTGGAGCCATTGGGCAGGGATGAGGTGGAAGGTGGGGGATCCCAGAGCCCACCCAGGCTGGCTCTTCCGGCAGGCAGAAAAGGGGCCCAAGGAATTGGGAGGGGTTGGGCCTGAGGGCTGCGGTTGGATGTGAATCATTTCCCTGCCTGTGTCCTGTGGAGCAGCCCCTGGCAGCGGGCCAAGGCCACCCCTGCCCTGTGCCGCCGCCTGGCCGTGCCTGCGGGCAGCTTCCATGGAAAAATCAGAAAGTGTTTCTACTCCACTGGGGCATTTGGTTTGGCAACTGACTGCTCTTCTCTGAACTGCCATTTGTCATCTGTCAAATGAGAGATCAATCCATACTCCAGGTAGGGAACCCTAGCGACACAAACAGCCAAGAACCCATCTGCTAAGAAACTGCTGTTTGAACCAGCCCAGGCCTTGGAGGGAGAAAGATCTAGTGACCTCATCTGCTTCTGGTTGCCATCAAGTTAGAACCGACTCATAGCTGACCCTTCAGCAGGTTTCCTGAGACTGTGAATCGCATGGGAGGAGATGTCCATCTTTCTCCCACAGACACGCTGGGGATTTTGCACCTTCACAGAGACAATACATTTGGTTCACAGCACAGCTCCCTATGGACTGTGCCCCCAGAGCTCCCTTTTGTGCGGATTACAGCCCAGGAGATCTTATGGGGCGGTTCTGCTCTGCCACATGGGCTAGCTGTGAGTTGGCATCGCCTCCAGGCCCCTCACAACAGCAGGAGCTCCTCAGGTGGGTGGGGTCAGAAGGGACATGCCAGGAATGTGCTTCCCATGGGGCCTGGTGCAGAGCTGGGCCTCGGCGTGGAGCTGGGCCCTTAACCTCGCTTCACCTGTTCATCACGTAATGTTGAGGTTTCTTTGCTCTCCAGGCTCATCCCCACACTGTCACGGCTGTGGGTACTGGGTGGGAGTGGGAACACAGACTGCTGGTGTGGGAGTGTCATGGAAATGAACTCCTGCTGGCCAGAGGGGACCCCAGAGTGCAGCAGGCAAGGTGGCCCAGGAGCAGGTGCCCTGCCACCCTACAGCATGCCTTCAAACCTATGAGATAAGAGTGGAGGTTTGTAGACAGGGCAGGGGAGATGTCCAGGTGGAATCTGGGACAGAAGGACTGAAGCAGAAGCAGCCTGGGCATGTGGGCAAGGGCCCCCCATCTGCCGAGCATGGGTGTCTGTGTGCTCCTGTCTCACGCTCTCCCCGCCCTCTCCACAGGACATCTGTGAGGACCCGCGCCTCTTTGTGGACGGCATCAGCTCCCACGACCTGCACCAGGGCCAGGTGGGCAACTGCTGGTTCGTGGCGGCCTGCTCATCACTCGCCTCCCGAGAGTCACTGTGGCAGAAGGTAAGGCTGGAGTGGGTGAAAGGTGCTGACTCCACGGTGGCCCTCGCTGCTGGGCAGTGGAGAGGCCCCCAAGTGTGCAGGTGCAGACGTGCCTGTAGCAGGAGTGCGGTGAGGTTGATGTTGGACCCTGTCACCTCACCTGGCAGGTCCTCCATGGGCAGGTCCTGGAACCCTGCACAGCTCCCATGGTGAGTCTGATAGCTTAGGACCTACAGTTCCTGGAGCTACCAGGTGGTGGATGGAGATGGCTACAGACCTGAGACACGTGGAGGCTGTCCATAGCCTGTTCCAAATAGAGACAACTCTCCAGGGCTCAGGAGACCTCTTTCAGGAGCCTTTCTGTCCTTCTCTGGGTCTCACACGCCCCAGATGTTCAGAGAAGGCAAAACACATAACCCTGAACTGCATGATTTGTGTTTACAGGCTGCTGAGGGTCTGGACCAATGATTGGAAAAGCTTAGGGATTGATACCCTGCCCTCTTGTGGCAACACTAGGCACTGCAGATCTTAAATCCAGCAGGCTGAGCCTGTCCTGGGGAGTCCTGGAGGCTGGTGTGGAGGCTCATCTCTGGAGAACGATTGGCGGGAATAGCAGTGGAGAGAGGCGTGGTGGGCGCGTTTTCAGGTTTGCGTTCTCTTCTAGAATATAGAAATCACAGCTCCTTTACTTATCCCTACCTTCCTGTTCTGTTATTCTCTTTACCTCTGAGTTGGAACCGACTTACAGCTGACCCTCCAGCAGGTCATCGTTGTTCTTAGGTGTCATAGAGTTAAATATGACTCATCATGATCCTGTGAACAACAGGTCTGAAGCCTGCCCTATCCTGTGCCATCCTCATCATCTCTGACACTTTTGAGCCCATTGCCACAGCCACTCTCAGTTCAAACCGTTGAGTATCTTTCTCTCTTCCACGGGTCCTCGCCTTTTCAAGCTTGATTTCCTTTCCCAGCAATCATCTCTCCTAGCAACATACCTCAAGTCTGTGAGGTAAAGTGTCTCCATCCCTGCCTCCAAGGAGCACTCTGGCTGCACTTTCTTCAAGACATAGCTGCTTGTTCTGTTGTCCAGCAGGTCAAAGGTTGTAAATCACACGAGAGGAGATTGCTCAGTTTCTCTCTATTAATGGACTCAAAATCATTGCCATCAAATTAGAACCAGCTCATAGCTGAGTTCTCAAGGCTATAAATCACATTTAAGGAGATTACCCATCTTTCTTCCACAAGGCTGCTGGTGGATTTGAACCTCCAGAGAGGCTCAGGCATAGGGTTAATGCCACACCTCCCAGTGGACTACCAGACCTAGCACTCAGTCTCTGAGTCTGAAGAGATGCAAGTTCAAGCCCCTAGCCTCATCCTTTGGTAGTTCTGTGACTTTCTAAGTGTATGTTCTTTTTTTTGGGGGGGGGAGCACCCTGGTGGCTCCATCGTTAAATTCAACTGCTAACTAAAAGACTGGTGGTTCAAACTCACCAACTCCTCCATAGCAGATCAGTGGGACAGCCTGCTTCCATAAAGATTTAAAGTTTTGGAGACCCTATGGGGCAGTTCTCATCTGCCCTCAAGGTCGCTATGAGTCAGAATCAAGGTTTTTTGTTTTTATCTGAGATATTGGGACAACCTTTTTTTTTAATTGAAATTTTAATGAAAGTTTATAGAGACTTTGAATTTCCATTTATTCTTTGTTGCACATTTTCCTCCCTGCCCACTCCTCCCTCCAGTTCTTCTCTTTGAAAAGTAAAAACAAACAATACTTTCATTATTATGCAATCCAACCCCCCAGTCTACTCCCCCATGAAGCTCTCATTCTGGACTCTTGTCATGAAAATGATACCTAATCGTATATTCCTTCCAAACAGTTCTCTCCCTCATCTGTTTCAATGTAGTATACATTATTTATCCTCTATTTTCTTAGATTCCCCCCCAACACCAAAGTCACTCCTGTTTTATAACAGTGGCATTATGTAGTATTTGTCCTGTTGTGACTGAGAAATTTCACTCCGCATAATGTCCTGCAGGGTCACCCATTTTTAATAATACTGCATGAGTTCCTTGTTTTTCGGTTTGTTTTTTTTTTTTGGTTTTTGAGTTCCTTGTTTTTCAATGCAGCATAGTATTCCACTGTGTGAATATACCAGAGCTTCTCTATCTGTTCATTTGTTGATGGGCACCTGGGTTGTTTCCGACTCTTTGCTATTGCAAACAGAGCCGCGATAAACATGAATGTGCATATATCTGCTTGGGTGGCAGTTATGGTTTCTTTAGGGCATATTCCCAGTTGTAGAATTGCTGGGTCAAATGGTAATTCTACTTCTAACATTTTGAGAAAGCGCCACACTGCCTTCCATAGTGGCACCATTTTACACTCCCACCAACAGTGAATAAGGGTTCCAGTTTCTCCACAACCTCACCAGCATTTGTTGTTTGCTGTTCTGTTAAATTTTGCTATTTTACTGGGGTAAGATGATATCTCATAGTTGTTTTGATTTGCATCTCTCTTAGAGCCAGGGATTTTGAACATTTCTTCATGTGTTTGTTGGCCATCTGAATGTCTTCTTTGGTGAAATATCTGTTCATATCCTGTGCCCATTTTTCAATTGGATTGCTTACCTTTATCTTGTTGTGGTGAGGATAACCTTTTGGGGGTTGCTGTGAGGGTGAAATGAGATACTGGACTTCAGGTGCCTTGTGTTTTATGAAAGACATGATGGTGAGAATGGTAATATTCAGAGTGTGTGTTTCCACGTGGTGGGAGGAGTTGGCCTTGCACTCCAAACATCCTTCAGCCATGAGAGGGAGCTGTGCCCTCAGCTGCAGCTGTCACTGTGGTAGGTGCCCTCCTGTCCTGTCTTTTGAACAGGAGAGTGAATTCTTGAAGCCATTCCAGAACCTGTCCCCAGAGGTCACCCCTACTCCAGGGTCTGTCCTCTGAAGCAGTTTCTACTTCCCCAATAACCCTGTGGGGAGAGGAAGAGTGAGAGCTATGGTCTTTGGGCCACTGCAGACCCAACTGCTGCATTTGGTAGTCTAGGTAGTGGTGGAGCCTCAGAGCTGGGCAGTCCTTAGGGACCCACATGGGATCGTTTCAAACTTGAGGCTCTAAGGCCAGAAAGGGGCTGTGTGGAGCTATTCTCTAGGCACAGAGCTAGTCCTTATTCTTCTGACCCCCAGGGATCCAACCCCTTCTCTGAGCCCAGACCAACGTCTCCCTGCCAGGAGTCCCCTCTCCCTGCTCCAGCTAAGCCAGGGCTCAGCAGGAGGAGACACACAGACATTCTCCCTGTGACTTGGGATGTCTCCCCTCCACCCCTGCCTTGCCCTGTAATCACCTGTTTATTCATGGTCTCCTCCCTTGAGGTGAGCTCCCCATGGACAGAGTTAACCCAACTTATATCTTCCTTCTGAGCCCCACAGGAGCCTGGCATACCGAAGGCTCCAGAACATTTTAGAAATGGATCTCATTCCTAAACAGTCTGCCCAGCCACTGACGAGCACCTTCACACTCTACTCTTGCTTTTCCAGACCTCCTGGGGATCTTCAGTGGGGCTGCGTCTTGACCACATTGGGTCTTTTTCTGGTCATGGGAAAGGGAGGGTCTCAGCTTATTGGGGCTTCACCCATAGCTGGACTCAGGCAGCTCCCGATGCAGCTTCCCCTCTAGGGGGTGAAAGGACCTGGGACTTGGAGACAGGGGCCTGGCGCATCTTCAGTACTCTGTGGACTTGGGTCGCCTCATGTTAATAATCCCAGGCCCAGAAGTTCCTCCTGCAAAATATAAGAAGCTACTAGGCCTGATGGCGTGGGTACCGGGGAGGGTGAGCAGAGGAGGTGGGTAGCTCTTGGCTAATTGCACGCTGCCTCCTGGTGCTGCTGTAGTGACAGCATCTAGGTCCCAACAGAAGACCCAGGGCCCTGGGGAGCTCATTACTGGGCCTGGCCTTCCCCTCTTGTCCCTGCTGACCAGGCCCTGTTTGTTGTCACCCCTCACTGTGTGGGCCTGTTGCCCTGCAGGGCCTCCCTTGCCACACCCTGTTTTCTCCACAGAAGGTGGGGGAGGTGCCCGGTCTGAGCTGTGCCCACTGCCCTCCTGCTCAGCCTCAAAGTTTGGAGACACGGAGCCTACAGTGATGCGCACCGCCCCCTCTGCCAGAAGTCACCACCTCTGCCTCCAGCCTTGGGCCAGCTTGGGTCTAGTGGGCATGCAGTTCAAAGCTGGCCAGACCTGGGCAGGTCATGTTCCTGTCTTGACCTTGGTTCAAACCTAACCTTTCCAGCCTCCGGGAGGCGGCAAGCCTGTGATATGTAGTGGCTCTCTCTATGTCCTAAGTCCTCCTTCTTGCTTGTTTCTGGGCTCCCCGACCTATTTCTGCCTTCTCTCAGGCACCTCTTGGCAGTGGGCCACCCCCTTCTTTGATACTGTTGGTGGGTCACTGTGGTCTCTGTGACTGGACCATATCTTCTCTGGCGATTGGCTTTGACTGACCATGTTTTGTGAACCAGAAATCGAGGTGTGACAGTGGAGTTGAACACTTTCCATCAGGTGTGGCCTGTCCAAGGTGGCCTGAGGATGGGTTTAATCACTTCTGCAAGTCTATGGTTTGTCGTGCCCTGGTTTGACTCATAGAGTTCTAATGGTACAGTGGTTAAAAAAGCTCAGTTGCTAACTGAAAAAGGTTGGTGGTTTGAACCCACCAATCACTCCGTGGGAGAAAGATGTGAAGATATGGTGGCCTGCTTCTGTAAGATCCCAGCCTTGGAACGAGAGCTGTGGGCCAGTGCAATTCCGTCCTGTGGGATCACTGCGCGTCTAGACTGTCCCTTAAGGACACTGTGATCTGGACCTACTAGATGGCAACAGGGTTGATTTTAATTTGGGGGCTGGACCCCAAACAAGGAGGGGCCCACAAACAAGAATCACCTTGGGTCTCCTCATTTGACATAGTTACTGTGACCATAGGCTCCAAACCTACAGTGGCATGGCGGACAGAACATTTGAAAAGATGCCGAGAAGTTCCAAGCCACTGAAGGTGTTCATTACACAGAAAACACCCAGTGTTAAGGATCTTCGGCATTTCCTTCTAGTCTTTTCTATTGAGGGTTAAAAGCACCCCAACTATTCTCCCATTACAACTTAACACCTCCCTGTCTTCTCACTACTATCTGGAATACCCCTGGGGATTGCTGCTAGTGACCCCAGAACTGACCCCAGGGCTCAAGATGTCTTGGCAAGGCTGGGTGCTCTGTTCCTGTCATTATTGTTAGGTGTCACTGAGTAGATGACCATTCACAGTGACCCTGTAAACCACAGGTGGCCGCCCTTGTGCCATCCTCAGCATCTCGGCCATGCGTGAGCCAGTAGTCACAGTAACTATGTCAGTGAATCTCATTGAGGGTCTTCCTCTCTTTCACTGACCCTCCACCTTTCCCATTATGTTGTCTTTTCCCAAGGACTGGTCCCTCCTGACAGCATGCCCAAAGTAGGTGAGTGAAGTTTTACCATCTTTGCCACTAAGGACCACCTTGGTTGAACTCCTCCCTCCCCAAGACAGATTTATCTTTTCTTTTGGGTACTTAAGATACTTAGTACTCTTTTTCAACACCACAATTCAAAGACATTCATTCTTCAGTCCTTATTGGTCATTGTCCAGCTCTCAGATGCATACAAAGCAATGAAAAATGCTGTCAGTTGAAGCTCTTACTTCAAAGACAGCAGCCTTCAATACGGGTTACTTCTCTACATCAAGAAAATAAAAATCCTCACCACTAGACCAATAGGCAACATCATGATATGGGAAAAGGATTGAATTTGTCAACAATTTCATTTTACTTGGATCCACAATCAGTGCCCATTGTAACAGTCATTAAGAGATCAAAAGACATACTGAATTGGACAAATGAGCAAAGTTGTCAAATTAAAGGTGCACCTGCCTCTCTTTGAACCCATTGGCTTAAATACCCTCCATAGCTAGCAAATGACTGTGATTGTAGTCCTTCAGACCCTTCAGCTTGTTTTCATTTGTTCCCCTTGGTCGTATCTCTGCCCTCGTTTTAGCTTCTCCTCCACCCCCGCATCACTCTGCTCTCATTTTAGCTGAGCTCCTACTTTTGCCCCAGAAACTGGGGAGAGAGAGATTTATCAACTTCTGCTTCTTCCTCAGCTTCTGATCTCCTGGGAAACATTGAGGATCAATATAGATGGAGAGAGTGGTGAGTTTTAGTAGGAGATAAAGTGGGTTGTGGGGCTGCCACGTGGGTACAGGGTTGAGATGGAGAGGTCAGGCAGAATCACATAGACCAGTGGTTCCCACAGTGCGTTCCTTGGGTCCGCATCCCCCGAGCGGCTGTGGAAATGCAGGTTCTAGACCTGCCACAGACCTACTGCTTTAGAAGCACTGGGGCTGGGGCTCTGGCAGAATCTAACAAAGTGATTCTGATGCTCGTGAACGTTTGAGATCTGTGATGGGATGAGGTAAGAGAGAATGGTCGTGGACACAGGACCTGACGGAGCATGAAAGGGTCGGTTCCCAGGGCATTTTGAGAGGCAAACTCTGCTTCAGCGTGGCAGTTGGGTCTGGAGAGGTGAGGCAGAGTTGAGGTTGCGCCTTGGGTTTGCCCTGTGTGACTTCAAATCTCACATGAGGCAGCCCCCCAGGGTCCATGTCCTTTCCACCCTCTTACCAGGTGGTCGTCAGGCCTCTTACATACATCCAGTGAGGATGTGCTCTCCACAGCCCTCCCCTCTCACTGCCCTGTTGAATTACTCCCTTCACAAACAACCCGGCTCCCAGCCATCCCTTGATGTTGTCGTCAGGGTGGTTGCCACAGCGATTGACATCAGCAACTGGTCCCCTAGGAACTTCTCACCCTGCTGCCTGCCAGCAGTGCCTCCTGTACCACTGGGCGAGAAGAGAGGAGGCGTCTGGGACCCCAGGGAAGCTTGACATCCGGGTCCCTCACCTCACCTGGAGGCCTGGGCAGGGTCTGTGGCAGCCAGGTGAGAGTGGAGGGGCGGGCGGGCAGGTAGGCGGGCCCTCTGCTGTGGCCTCTTCCCCGGTGCCTGGAGGCCCCAGCCCACTCGGCTTCTTGGTGGCACTGGTGGCAGCAGCAGTGGTGGTGGTAGCAGCAGCAGCAGCAGTGAGGCGATGGCGGAGGATGGGCCACAGAAACCTCAGCTCGAGATGCCGCTGGTCCTGGACGAGGACCTGACCAAGCAGATGAGGCTGCGTGTGGAGAGCCTGAAGCAGCGTGGGGAGAAGCGCCAGGATGGCGAGAAGCTGCTGCGGCCGGCGGAGTCCGTGTACCGCCTCGACTTCATCCAGCAGCAGAAGCTGCAGTTCGAGCGCTGGAACGTCGTGCTGGACAAGGCGGGCAAGGTCACCATCACGGGCACCTCGCAGAACTGGACGCCTGACCTCACCAACCTCATGACGCGCCAGCTGCTGGACCCCGCTGCCATCTTCTGGCGCAAGGAGGACTCGGACGCCATGGATTGGAATGAGGCGGATGCCCTGGAGTTCGGGGAGCGCCTGTCAGACCTGGCCAAGATCCGCAAGGTCATGTTCTTCCTCATCACCTTTGGCGAGGGCGTTGAGCCCGCCAACCTCAAGGCCTCTGTGATTTTTAACCAGCTCTGAGGGCAGCCCCTTGCTGTCACCTCTCCTCTCACCCAGCTGCCCTCTGCCTTGCCCGGGTGTGTGTGTGGGGACATTCTTCCAGCTCTTCAGCTTGTCCTTGTCTTGGCCAGCCACTCCTGGAGTCCTTCCTGGTGCTGGCCATCTGCTCTCGGGAGGCTCTGTAGTCTAGAAGACCTGATACTGCTTCTGTAGATGAGAGACCTGGCCAGGACCCGTGGGGAAGGTGGAGAGGCCCTGGTGCCTGCTCCCCCCCCCCCCACTTCATTGTGGGGAGCAAAGAAACAGAGACAGAAAGACACACAGACAGAGAAGAAGATCCAGAGAACCCTCCATCAGCGTCCTGCACAGACGGGGAGTTGGGCACAGCAGGAACAGCTGGCCCCCAGGAAACAAGCAAGCAAGCAAGCAGGGGTCTGGTGGCCTCCTGATCAATGCACTTTGCGAAGGTCCATGCCTGGAGGTGACCATCCAGCCTGAGACCCAGGAGAACACTGCTCCCAGTGGGCCACAGGGCTCCCAGGACACTGGGCAGGACTACCGTGTGACCACCTGGCTGAGTGGGTCTTGGGAGGGGTGGAGAAGGGGTGGCGTCCTGGCCCTGCTCTGGCTTTTGTGAGAATGTCCTAGAGAGTGAACAAGTGCAGGAGACAGGAGGGGTAGGGAAGTCACGTAGAGATCTATCTGCTTATCTATATTATATATATGTTTATATTGAGAGAGAGGATGCTATATTCATATGGATATATTCTAGAGGTCTGTGCCTGCCCTGAGTGCAGGTCTGACTTTATATATTATGCAGTTGCCCAGCTGATTCATGGGTGGCTCGTAGTGGGGACTTGATCATGCCCTTGGAAAGGTCTTTTTGAACAGAGACGAGGAAGCATGTGCAGTGTGGGGGGAGTAGCTGGGCGCAGGGGTTTCTCTTCCTGGGGGAAGCTGGTGGGAAGGATTCTCTGAGTCTCAGGTGTTCCTTCCTGGGAAGTGGGGATTTTCCCAGCTCACTGATCTGAGAAGAAGAGTGTTTATCCCACTGGGTATCTTTTGGCATTTTTGATGGCGCTGAGTGGGAGGGTTGGGTTAGGGAGCAGTGGGGAATGATGGAGAAACACTGGCCTCAGGTCATGAGGTGCAACTACTCAAAAGAAGACAGAGAAACTGAGGCACAGAGAGAGTAACAGATTCTGTTCTGGCTCCTAAACTTCAGGCCCCCTCTTATACTGCTCAGGAATAGAGAGACCCCTCTTTGGAGGGAGGAGTTTGACCGACCACCTGGTCAGGTGTTGAGGGTTCCCAAGGAAGTGTCCCCAACACTCTGTCTCAAGGCTAGTCTGTTTAATGTCTGTGATCAGACGGGGCATGTCCACATCTCTTCCCATAAAGCAGAGCCACCAGGAGGAGCCTCAGGGCCATGGGAGTAGAGACGGTGAGAGATGAAGGATCAGAGCTACCTCAGAATGGCTGGGGTACCAGGAGGCTGAGCACCCCACACAGGGTGCAAGCAGGAGTGGGGTGTTGGGGTGATGGGCTGTAGTGGGAACTGGTCCTTTCTGCCTTGGAGTTCTGAAGTCATTTCTGGGAGGTGCTTGAAGTCCTGTCCTTTGCCGATCTTTCTTGGCCAACGCAGGGAGGCCAGACCTCGAGGGGGTGGCCCTGCCCTCTGCTTCTTTGCTTGCCATGTCCTTGCAGCTCTGTAGCTCCGTGCTCCATCCGCCTGCATCCCTGCCCTCCTCCTGCCTTTATGCAGGTGGCTGCGTGTCTCTGTGCCCTCCGTGTGTCCCCAATAAAGCCTGTGAGCCCTCACCTGGTGTCTGCTTCTCCATGAGGTGCCCTGCCTTTCAGGAGCTCTGTTTTACCCCCTCAGCCCTTCCCGGTCCCAAGAACCCACGTCCCACATGCCTCCTCATGCCACATCTGAGATAAGGCCAGAACAATCAGATGACTGGCTCAAGGTCACATCAGAGTGGGTTTAGACCTGGCTCCCTTGACAACTAACTCAGAACCAACATCTCTCGATCACTCCTAGACCAATCCTTATATGGAGTGTAGAAGGAGGCATGCGGAGTCCACAGAGCAGGGGCAGTTACAGTTGGTCCTAGGAGAGTGAAGACTAGAGAGGATGGGAGGGACATGAAGGAACTGTCTCTGTCTGCAGCCTCCCTCCCCTGCAGTGTGACTGGGCAGGAGCCAGGCAGGACGGGAGTAGCAGAGGGTGGGCTGGGGTCAGGCCTGTGCCATGGTTTAAAGACTGGCTCCCATTGCTGACTGTGTGTCTTCAGGCATCCCTTGACCCTCTTGAACCTTCTGTCTGTCCGTAGATGTGAATCACCTTGACCTGTGAGATCTCTTCCAGTTCTGACTGTGGGACCCTTTTTCAGGTCTTTGTCCCTTCATCATCTCTCTCAAGCTTAGTCATTTGTGGAAACAGCTGAAGCTCAGAGGCATAAGGCCACAGAGGGTGTTGAGAAGCCAGAGAGGTGGGGGGTGGGGTGGGTAGGTACTAAGCTCCGTGCTTTCTAACTTGTACCCCATAACACTATCTGCTACCTCCTGCTCCCCAGGGTGGGCTGGACAGGTGCCCCTCCCCTATCCGAGGGACAGCCCAGCTTGCCCAGTTTTTGTTCCACCAGCAGGCTGGCCTCAGAGGACACACTTGCAGTTTGCATGGTAATGGCCTTGCTTCAGATGCCCCCACCAGTCAGGGCTGGGCTTCCCTTTCCTCTTCAACCCAGAGGCCTTCCCCAGAGCCACTGCTACTAACTCTTTTCTCTTCCCCTGTGTACCTCTTCCCAGCACATCCAGAGAACACTTCCCCAGTCCTGCACTGCCCCCTTTCACCTCACCTCATCTTCCAGGAACCTCTGCTTCTCTGAATATACCCCTCCTGAGGCTTGTCCCTCCATGTACTGTCTTCATCTGCCTCTGGGAGTGGGGTTAGTAAGGGAAGAGTAAAGGACCTTTCTTCCACCCCTGAGACTGGGGGTGAATGGATGCCGGGAATGGAAAATGAAGGCCCGTTTTCATAGAAACCACAGAAGCTGTAGGGTAAAGAGGTCTGAGGTCTGCCATTTCCAGAGCTTCCACCTCCAGACAGGCAGTGAGTGAGTGTGTGTGTGTGTGTGTGTGTGTGTGTGTGTGTGTGTGTGTGTGTGATATGGTTAAGACCCTGCCCTGCTCAGTCATGGGCATGCTGTGAGATCCTGGGCAAGTTACAGAGCCTCCCTGAGCCTGTTTCCCTAACTGCCAGTTGATCTCCTAATTGGTCACATATGATCTCCCTAATTTTCACTGTTATTCTGGGAGAGAACTTGAGGAACCTGCTTGTTGATGAAGAACCAGGTTCAGAGAGGTGAAGTGAGTTGCCCAAGGCGACACAGCAAGCAGTGTGTGCCTTTGGCAGTCGGTGGTGCTGGGAAAAGGGATGGGCAGGGGCCAGGCCAGGCTCTGTGATCACAGAATGGGGGCTGAAGGGAGGTAGTTTGCCTTCACTACTGTCTCCAGACCCCATGGTCCCAGTGGAACCACCCCCCTGGGTCTCAGAATGACCCAGCTAAGGGGACCCTCAGCCCTGACAGTACAGTTGGGGAGGTGGAAGCCCAGTGGGAGGGGCTTTGTCCACGGTTGTGGGACCAAGACAAAGCTGAGGGTTCCTGCCAGGGTCTCCCAGGAAGAGGCTGGGGTCTCTGCTTTGTGAACAGGAAACCTCAAAACCCCTTCGCAGTTGCACATGGCTCCCAGGGGTGGTGAGCAGGCCAGCTGGGGTTCTGCTTCCCGAGGAAGCAGCCGGTTGGCAGCTGACCTCCCTGGACCCTTCTATTCATAGCATTTGAAACTGGAAATGTGAGGCTTGGAATCAGTATAAATAATAATAGAAGAATCTCAGGTGCCCAGAACTAGAGACCTTTCAGTTAAGGGGTCAGAATGGCCTTGCAGTTCATCTCTCCCAAATTTGATAACAGGAAATATCATGACAGCCCCTCATTCCTCAGCCCTGGTTCCAGTGCACCCTCTGGGATCCTAGGCAGAATTCTGTGACAGGCTTCCTTGCCCCACCATGCACACTCTGTGTGCTGACGTGACCACATACACACAGTACTCAACATGCTTGGGCACACCCTGACACACACACGGAAGTCATGAGCACTGCTACCCTCTGAGGGCTCCTGACGCCCTCCACCCTTTTCTTGTCTCTTAGAAGACAAAGAGTCTTAGAAGACAGAGTCCAGGTCTGTCCCTGCGCCATGGCATTTTAGCCCAAGCAGGCCTCTGCTTCTAGGTAGAAACCCCAGGGAAAACACAGTAGAAGGGATTGCTCAGGAGAGCGAGCCACTAGAGGGCACTGTGACGTGCTTCTAGGGGAGTCCTGGAGATACCTGGTTTGAGTCTGCAATTTGTGGCAATTAATGGGCCTCATGAGGGAGGCTGCAAAATCCTACATAGTCCTTTCTCTCTGCCAAGCCTTATTTTCCCTTATTTTCTTTCCAGGGGGTAGGGGGGAAGGGGAGAAGGGTGCTTTGGTGATTGGTTCCCACTCTTGCCTCCTGGGAGAGAAGTTGACCAGGGAAAGGACCAGAAGTGGTTGTTTTGGGTCCCTCCTTGCTCCTCCCAACAGTTCTCAGTGAACACCAACACACCCGCACACATGAGAATGGCCCCCCACACATGCACAGCACTCAGCAGCAGTTCAGTGAAGCAGTCGAGGCCCAGAGAAGCAGCCAGTGTTAATGTCTGCATACACTGCCACTGGTAACGTGGTGAGAAGTAATGTGTCCAAGGTCACCAGCTGGTCGACTTCTATGTGACCAGCCCTTGGGGATTTTCCTGCCATGAAGACTCAGCCAGCGTTGGCTCTGGGCCAAGTGTTGTGCTGGATGCTGAGGACCTGGGATGAGTCAGATGGGACCCCAGCCCTCAAGGAGCTCTTCCCTGTGAACTGAGACACACAAGCCTGGAGGAGGGGCTGCTCAAACTGAGCCCCAGTGGAGGGTTCTGTTAGGGAGACC